CTTAGTTTTCCTTACATACACACACATCACTCCCCCCACCCCCAGATTGGTCGCCACGTTCCCGCCTTCCGTTTTCTACAGAATTTTACAATTGTACAAGACTCCAGAGAGATCCGACACAGAACAGAGAAGACCTGAGGGGGAAATCACACATCCATAGAGAATTCATTGTCGGCTCTTTCTTTAGACTGTAAGCTCTTGGGATCAGCCTCCCTTATGTTCTGTACACGTCTGTGTGTGTATCAATTCATCTCCTATTATTAGCTCTCACTCGATATATATTTATATACGATGCAAAAGGTGCCTGCAGAGCCTATGGAAAGATTAAATCAGTTTATTATTCAGATCCTGTATTTTATATAGCTTCAACATATTCCGCAGTGCTATACAGACAGATCCGCCATATTAATATAAAACGTCTGCGGTGTAAAGTAGTAGAGCAGTGAAGTTAATTATTTCTCTTGATCTTCTATGTCTGTACAGACTGTCCATTATGCCCAGTACCAGCATTCAGGTATGGCTGGGGAAAGTGTAGACACATGGGATGCTGTGTCTAATTAAGGATAGCGCACACAGCAGATGTATTTTCCAGCAGTTCTGGGGTATAAAATATTTATCCCATCTGGTGTCACGCAAAGAGGAAGTTACTGGAATATGACTGCGGGTAAACACTGTCCTCACGTCGCTGTCATATCGGATGGCCAGCGGTGAGGGGGAGAGAAGCCGCCCACAGGACGAGCTGTGACGGCCGCACGGCGCCCTTGTTGCCATGGCGCCCTGTGCGGCCGCACGGCTCGCACACCCCTAAGGCCGGCCCTGCTCACGCGACTCATTCTAGGTATAAAATATAGAAGGTGTAATTATGTCCAGGCGGGGTCACCAGTCAGGATTTTCAAAGGATGTTTTTGCCTTTCATGAGATAAAATTCACACAATCCCCCACATGGCAGCATCTTCTCAGATGTGAGGGGCTCCGGGGACCCCACATGGGCCGTAGCTTCGTATGCTGCAAAGAGACACAGACCTGAAAAGTGATTGTGTTGTTGCTGTGCCTGTATATAGAGAATATAATCCCCTCTGTATACGGGGACACGGCAACCGTCTGCCATTCATCTGTGATTTCCACATGATCAATTCTTCTTATTGTAAAGTTACTGCATAAACCTGATCACCTTCACCATCAATATTGTCCCGGGATGGGGTGTAATCTCTACCTGCCCCAGGGTGGGGTATACTCTCTTCTCGTCCAGGATGGAGTATAATCGCTCTCTGCACCAGAATGGGCTATAATCTCTTCTCGTCCCAGGATGGGGAATAATCTCTTCCTGCCCCAGCATGGGGTATAATCTCTTCCTGCCCCAGCATGGGGTATAATCGCTCTCTGCACCAGAATGGGGTATGATCACTCTCTGCACTAGAATGGGGTATAATCTCTTCCTGCCTCAATAGGGTGGGGTATAATCTCTCTCTGCCCCAGGATGGGGTATACTTTTCTCTGCACCTGGATGGGGTATAATCTCTTCCTGCCCCAAGAGGGAATATAATCCTTCCCTGCCTCTTGATGAGGTATAATTCCTTCCTGTTCTAGGCTGGGGTATAATCTCTCTCTGCCCCACGATGGGGTATAATCTCTCTCTGCCCCAGGATGGGGTATAATCTCTCTCTGCACCAGGATGGTGTATACTTTTCTCTGCCTTAGGATGGAGCATAATTCCTTTCTGTCCTAGGCTGGGGTATAATCCCTCCCTACCTGCTGTTGGGATATAATCTCTTCCTGCCCCAAGATGGGGTATAATCTCTTCCTGCCCTGGGATGAGGTATAATGCCTCTCTGCTCCAGGACGGGGTAAATTCCTCTCCTGCTCCAGGATGGGGTGTAATCTCTTCCTGCTACAGGATAGGGTATAACCCCTCTTTACCTGTGGATGGGGTAAAATTTCTCTCTGCCCCAGGATGGGGTATAATCTTTCCCGGTCTCGGGATGAGGTATAATCTCTATTTCTGTTTCAGGATGGGGTAGTATAATGCCTTGCTACCTGTAAATAGGATATACTCTCTCCCTACAT